ATAACTTCTGTCATTGTTCCCAAGTGACATCATTGTGTATCTCATCAAGTGTCTGTTGTACACATGTAGAGCAAAAAAAAAAGTAGGTAGATGGAGATGCTTCCCTATCTTTTGTGAAGATGATATAAAATATACAATGATGCGCTATGTTGGCCAAACAGCTTTCATCCTGAGATGATTTTTTTGAATGCCACAATTAACTGGAAAATGCCCGACATAAAGAAAGACTTATAAAGGCCTGGTGGTCAGCTTTTTCAGCAAAAGCTGTATTTCAGTTTTACACCTCTCAAACTGTGGGGTTTTTTTTGTTTTCCCCTTCTTTCTGGACTTGTCAGACCATTCTGTAATTGATGTCCATTCTCTCTTTGAGTGGGATGTTGTTCATCACGTGGCAGAGTGGGGAGAGGCAGCAGGGAGGAAAGTAAACACTTGTGAGCAGGCAGAGTAAAATCTTTCTAGGCACAGAAAATTTTGGCCTCGTGTTGGTTCCATCAGTCTTCTTTTTTTGTATAAAAATGTGTGTGTTTTGTACAGTATATTTGTCTCTGTATGCAAACATTTTACACAGAGCTTTTATAAATTGTGTGACTCATAGCTAACAAATCTGTGAAGAGGTGATACTTATGTCGTGATGCAGAAGCACAGATGTAGTCAAGTGCCAGCTGTACAAGGCATCTGTTATTTTGCTTCTGTGCCTGCACTGCAACAGTCAAATAGAAAAAGATACAAGAGCCCAAGTGTATTTGTGTACTTATTAATGCCAACATTTTGAAGTGATTAGTGAATTTGTGTCTGTTACCTTTAAAGAAGTTTTTGATATCTCTGCATTAGGCGGCTATTTTAACAATCAGGATACATAATGGAAATTTATCAATAATCTGTGGGAGTAATTTGCAAGAATTTTATTGGTGACAGACTTAATGTTATTACTGGACTGCAAAACCCAGTGTTTTCACATTCCTGTCTTAATCTCTCTTCCCTTTACATAATCATCACTGGTACACTGAAGTATGGTCATAGCCCTTCTCATCAATGCAGATGTACAGCAACCTTCAGTCCTTCAGTTTATCAGAAGAAAAGCTTCGTAGCTAGAGCTCTTCTGCCTTTATTTTCTCCCAAACGATGATAGTTTGTTAGCATAGGCGAAGATAGGCCTTCAACTAGTATATGTCAAGCACGTTTACTTGCAATGTCTGTATGATCCTCTGATGACATGAATATTCATGACTATTCCTGAAATAGAGCAAGATGTAGTAATTTTAGTTTTGTACAATTCTACAGTTTTGAGAACTTCCGTTTGTCAAGAGATGGTTTTGCCAGTTTGTGGGGCTCCGTCTTGCAATCTGTGGTGGTTTTGGTGGTGTTCTGTGGTAGTTTGGATACTTCTGGGTTTGTACCTGAAATTTAAATATATTGGTTACACCAAATGCTATTTTTTATTCTCATAGATGGTGTCTTTTTCAATATTTAATTGTGTATTTGTTTGGTAATTTAGTGAAGAAAATTGCTAAGAACAAAGCATTATACCTAAGTAAATTTTTCTAGAGACACCCTGCAAGAGATTCCAGGATGTTTATCGATAATGATGCTTTGTCTTACTGAACACAGTAATTTTTGGTATATTTAAATGGAGCATCTTGCTTAGTGTAAATACTACTTTTATGTGGTAACATTAGCAGAATAATGAAACAATGTATGTGGTATGAACGTTACGGAAGGGAACCACATTCAACCTCTGCTTTTGGTCTTGGCAGTTTTGGGTTCAAATTCTTCTTAAATACTGAGTTAAAAGGAGTTGAGATGTCTAGCTTTTGAAAGCTATATCCAGGACTCAGTCTGGAGTTTTAACTTCAAGAATGTAAAGGGAACACTGTAATTGAGTCTGACTTCCTCTGCAACATGGGCCATAGAAATCCCTGAATTCCCTGTTTCAGGAAGACTGGGAATTAGGAGTAGTTAAGTGGAGGTTATAAAGTGTCAGAAAAAGCTGCATTGTGCTGCAGCTCCGTGGTGCCAAGCCAGTTCTAGCTTTTGCAGCTCTATTGCACATCTTTTATTGCTCAATTCATGTGCTTCTACTTTCTTTCTTGCTTCCATGCTTGTTAGACCTTTCACGGAGCCCTTCTGGTGGACTGGCCTGGGGGAGAATTCCCTCTGGAGGAGAAAGGAAGGACAAAGTGTTTATTTTTCTGTTGTTTTAATACGCTAAAATGGGTCAATACAGAATCTGTTGCACATCAGCGGCTGTGTAAGGAAAGTACACAGAACCACTGAACCTGAGCTTTTGACATCACTGAAAAGGAGGAGGGAAGGATAACTCTTACTACTGCTTGTGAGTAGTGCAGGCTGATCAAGGTACTCTTACTAGTCTTTAAGTACCATGACAGAGAAATGAATCCTTAGATCTATGTCTATAATCCTCATTCTCCTCTTCTAGAAGGATTGGTCTTGCTGCTAGCTGAGGAGACACAAAGGAGGGTAAAGAAGGATCATTCAAAAGGCTCATACTTTTAGAATGGTTGAGAAATGTCTTTGGAAAGGAAATGATATTTTGCAGTGTTGGAGAATCCTTGCTGTATGGGGTTCTGTTGAACAATAAAATTAAAATCCTTGATTTCCCCCCGCACCACCCCCAGCAAGTTGAAACAATGCTACTGCGTTTTTACTGAGGCCTGATCAAAAAAAGAGTGTGACATTATGGATCTGGACATTGTATCATTACTTGTTTAGGTACACAACTGTTGGAGTAGAATTTCTAAATTTAAATTACGCTAATTTAGTGAATGTTGTGTCTAATGAACTGAGAGTGCTCGGTAGCAAACGAGGTTCATAACAGCCATTACTTTGAAGAGGGAGAGGAACTAAAATAACCAGAAGGCAATGGTGAAGAGAGGTCTTTTCTAGTGATTGAAATGGTTTTTTTTAACCTTTCCACTGTTGAAAAGGTTGCCAAAGAAAGAGCAAGAGCTTGTGCTTCCACCCTTTTGTGTCATAGTTGGTGGATAAAGCACTTAGCTGAAAAATGGGACTTTCCTGGGTAAGCATTGTCAGCTATCTGAATACTTGTGATAATGCTGAGTGTCTGTGCTGCCAGGAACACAACCATTATGGAACAAGAAAGGACTGCAAGTGTGACCTTTTCTGGCTTTTGCCATTGTTTCTGCTGATTAGGTCCTAGGAGCATCCTCAAATGTATTTGACTTTGTCTTTGTATTTATTTCAGAAAATAATAAAAAAATCCCAAACATGCGTATTATTTTCTGATCATGGATTGCAGTGTACCACGGAATTAAAAGAAAGATAACATTTGGAAAGGGGACTTTTGAATTGGAGCAAGGTAGAATTTCAGAGTACTTCTGACCTAGTCCATAGTACTACTTGGTTATTAGCACTTGCACTGAAGTTGGTTGCTTTTAGTGAGTGTGGTTTAAAAAAGCATTGGTAGAATGGTCTTACCATGATCAGCCAAAAGAAAAGTATGACATAATAATAATAATTTGAGTGACAGGATTATTACCCATAATTTTGTTGGTGCAAGACGTATTAGAAGGTACATACTCTTGAGTTGTAGTCATGTAGTTAGCTATATGTCAAGTTAAAATGGAACTCTTCAACACAGGCTTATATGGAAATAGTAATCGATATCAATTATGCTAATATAACTTAAACTATATCAACTTATGTGATTTTTGTTTTGAAATAATAATCTGTGTACTCTTTTATCAAAATAATAATTTCCTGTAGGTAATAAATGTACTTAAATCAAAAAAGTTTGTACGTAGACCTTTCTGTGGTTTTCTGCGTTTTCTCGCAGCAATGAGCTTCTAATGTAAAGTAACTAGACTTGAGTCTCACTGTTGTAAAAGTGGTTTTGAAGGGCCTTTGAAGTGCTTAAAAGTAATAAAGAGCACCCTCTAGTTATTAGCCTAGGTATGTGCCTAGAAAAATGTATTTTGGGGGAAGAATTTGAGTCGGCAAAATGTCAAAACTTACTCTTTTTGTGCATATATTGTATATTGTGTCTCTGCTGCATAGTTATTGTGTGTACCATTTTGTTATCTTGAGACATTTGAGGTAAACAGTTGGCATTTGTACTCCAGTTCTCCAGAAATTTCTTGAGCAGCTTGAGCAGATCCAAAAGACAAGCAAGTGTTGTGTCAGGAATTGTGTTAAACTCCGTAAAATAAAACAGATATGGGCAAAGGGAAACACCCTCTTTTACCAATACTTAGTATATGTTTGTACAGCTGGCAATTTGTGCTCCTTCATATTCGTTGACCTAGAAGTAGCCAACATTTTAATGTGTTCTTGGAGGGGAAAAAAGGTGTTATGGAAAAGAACTGCCACATCAAAGCCTCTCCTCAGCTTGTAAAATGGTTTCCACCACTACCTTCCTCAACCCTATCAGAACACTCAGCACTTTCTGCCTCTCAAAAGAAAGCAAGCCTTTTTATTAAGACAGGGCCTTGGAATTTTATTTATATTAAAATGATAAAAGTGACACAAAGCAGTTGAAAAGATCTATATAGTTCAAATAAGAGTCCATCAGAGATGTAATGTAAATTCTGTGTAGTGTGTCTTTATCCATCACGTGATTCAGCTGTTGCATAGAGTGAAGTAAGTACTCCCTTTCAGGAAGTGTAACTGTGTAGAATGTATTTTAAATAACTAGTATGTAGTCCAAATCTTCATGCCTGTCAAATGGTTTGTATTTTGCTGGTCAGATCTGCTGTTCAAAAGTCTTACTTGTGACAAAGGAAACTAAGTGCTCGATAATTAGTTGCACAATACAGGTTCTTGACCATTGTGGTTATCATAATTCAATTTTAATCATACCTTCCCTTTATGTAGAAGGCTTATATCGACCCTTTGTTCTCCAACATTCTGCTCAGATTGCTGGATTTTCTATTTAGTGTGCTAAATAATATAGGGAGGCTGAAATAATTTAAAAATAATTTTACAAAAAATTCTTTGTTAATATAGTTTTTTATTCATTTTAGCACAAGCCCACCTTACTGCTGTGTGGACCTTTATTCTTTGCGAACAGGAGAGATGGTCAAGTCCATACAGTTCAAAACTCCTATTTATGATCTGCATTGCAATAAAAGGTAAGGGTGTTTACTATATGTTCTTTCTATGTTAGGGCATGTAAAATTTCAATAATGAATACAGTTTCTGGTATATGCGCTCCCTGACTTGATTATTTTGACTTTCGTGTAAGCATAGCTTTGGTTCTCTGTTTCTCAAGTAATATTTCAGTTTGAATATGACAATAGGCTTCTCCAATGGCTTTTATTTAAGAAGCTCAAAACATTTTGCATCTGAAATCATTTAAACTTCTTTCAGTTTTGATGAGGGTGAGCAGGAATTGTTGGAATCCTCTATCATCCACGTACAGATGGAGAAATGGGATCATCGATAGAACACTGAAGAGTTTGTCTCTTTTCTTTGTGTTCCATTGTTCCGTCATACATTGCCTTACTGCACATCCAAAAAATTCCTAATGTGCAATCCATGGTTTACCGGAAATAATGTTCCTGTGAGTCAAATAACAAAGTAGCATCTCTTAGTTAGGATAACGTCACCTAATTTCTGAGAGAAAATTACTTAGAAGGCTGAACGTCATAGAGTTCAAATAGAATAGAATCTGTTGTTTCCATAGAATTATGAGTTCGCATTTTTCTCACTTGACTTTAGATCTTCATCTCTCCAAGACACACAAAACTGAAAACCCCTGTATTTTACTGATTCTTTGTAAGACAGAAGAGAAAACCCACTTCCCTGCACAAGGATCTTGATGATCCTTTGGCACTCCTGATGAGAGAATTTGATGCCGTGACTTTGGTCAAAGTCCATGATTGTGCTGCTTGCTTTATTGCTTCCTTCTACCCAGCTATTACTGTTATTAGTCATTGTATGTCTTCAGGTACCTCATGCAAGTTGTGGAATATGATTCCTGTGTTAAAGGTAGAATGCTGAATGAAGAAATTACTCCATTTCTTTGGCAATATGTATTTGTTTGCTGGAATTGATGGTCCTTCAGTAAGGAAGGTGGCGTAATAACAGAAATCATTAAGAACAAAACATCAGAATGACACGTTTTATGTGCCTGTTTTGTATGGCAGTAGGTAGCGTGCTTGCATATGTGAAGACAACAAAAGAACTTGAACATGTATTGAACTCATGGAACTAAGGGAAGTTAGCAGTGTTGGAGATTGGGGGGCAGACACACAAACAAACAAAAAACCCCCCCAAAAAAGTAAAAAGCAACCCTAGAAGCCACAAAGGTTTTGTTAAACAGACAATTGTCTATCATTGTACCATCAAAATCTAAACGTTAATGACTGCATTACGTCAGGTAGAAGTTACAGAAAAAAGTAGTACTAGTGAACAAACACCTTTAATACCACAACTATTCTAATAATGAGGAGAGTATTTTGATGGTCTGAATGCTTAAAGAAGTAAAGGGCAGTAGTTTTTGTTATCCCCATCAATCTGCTTATTGTAGGATGTGGGTATGATTGTTATATCAAAAAATAGTTTCAGTGAAGTGATCGAGTTGGTGAGAGTTACGTGCCATGAATAGGTCACTGTTCCTTTAAAAGCTGTCAGAAGGAGTTCAGTACTTATCTGTGCAACTGTGCCTTGGAAAATTTAAAGTTCCCTTGTGTACAGTGTGATGATAGTAAATCTTTCCAGTCTGGCCTCCTAGCAGAAGAAAAATCCAATTGTAAAAACAATCAAAAGGCAAATCATCATCCAAACTTTCTCCCAACTAAAAAGTCTTTCCAGGTGCTAATGTTTCTTTTCCTAAGTGGTAAAAATGGAAAAGCTACTTCAAAGCTGTGTGACTGTATCCAGGGTAGCTGCTTTTCTGGAACATATCAGATTCTGCTGTTATCCAAAGAAAGCTGACTATTTCAGATTGAAAATGCATTAAATGTGGCGAAGTGCAGTGCTAATGGTGCATTAACCATACTATAGACTAATGGAGTCCAAAATCTGAATTTAGAATAAAACTTGAGTTGCAGAAGAAAGGAAAACTGTTTATTATTTATGTATTTATACTCTAGAATCATCCATCTGGTAGGTTTCACTTATGCAGAAAGACAGTACATCTTCAAAGAGTAAAAACCAAAAATCTGCAGAATTGGGAAATGTTACAAACAAATATACATAGGTTTTCTATATATACATTACAGTTGTACGTGCACTCAAAGTCTTTCCGTTTTTCGTGGGTTAACTTTCTTTTAGGCCTTGTGGAAGAAGTTAGAGTTGATACATTTTCTTTTGTTTTTCTCTCCTGCAGTTCAAGCAATTGAAAGAGATGTCGTTTAACAGAAAGTACTACTTTGTCCAAAACTAATATTAATTTATATATGTTGTAACTTTTAAGAATTGAGACTTATAAATCAGAAGGCGGTGGGGAAGCATCTTTTTCACAATGAGAGTGCTACAAGCAAATAAGAAATCCTACATAAATTTCTTGTATGACTTCACACATCTGAATCCCACTTGTTGAGATACATGTTCTGCCCTCTGCTTTTGGCAAGGAAACTGCTCACTCTGAAAGTGTACCTGTGCTTCCCATTCTAGGTCTGCAAATCTGTGAATAGGAAAGACTTTTGTCCAAAAACGTTCCTTGATTTCTACCTTCCTTTCAAGAATTTGTACTCCTTGTTTCTAGACAGAGGTGGACTGATAAATAGAGCAGCGACGAAGTCCCAGGATGAGATGTTATAAACCAAAGCGTCCTGAGAGAATTCAAGATACAGAATAGTGCTTATTACTTTAATCAGCCTCTGCATCGGACAAATAGAAAGTGGCTTTCAAATTTAGCTTGTGTTCTACTGATTGTTGATTTGATTGTTATTTGAGTCATTGAAAGTAATTCAGGATCCTTGCAATTCCATTCTTTCTTTTTAATGGAGCTTTTACTGCAGGAGGTATATCATAAATATGCTGTGTTGTTCAGTATCAGATCTGTGTACTTCCTGAAACGAAGGTTATGTGGTTGGGATGAGAGAGAATCCTCAATAACTGCCATGTGTTGGTAACCTGGCAGTTTATCACTGTAGAATTTATATTGATGCTTTTGAAATAATTACATTTAGATATTGAATCTTTAAACCAATGCCTTTAATGTTTAAAGTACACATTCCATTTCTGTGCTTTCAGGATACTTGTTGTAGTCCTGCAGGAGAAAATTGCCGCCTTTGACAGCTGTACTTTCACCAAAAAATTCTTCGTTACAAGTATGTATAATAATTGGGTTCAGTTTTTTTACTCTAGTGGTAGAGTGAGATAAAACAGTTTTTTGTTTGTTTGTTTTTATTTCTCAATCCTCAGAGCAGGTCTCCATGACTTCATTTGGAGTTTCAGGAAATCTGTTGCTTCAAAAAAACCCCAAAATGCTACTCTGTGAATCTTCGGCTTTTTTTTTTGCATATTCATTATCGGTGTAACTAATTTCTCACTGTTGTGAAGAGCACCTACACTGACATCCATAGGTAGCTGAAATTTTTTTTAATGCATTTTGCACAAATATGTGCAAAAGTTTCAGGTTTTGAGTTTCAGGTTGCAGGCGTAAGTGGCAGTTTGAAAACATGTCGACAGTGATCTGCCCGCTTTTCATTTTTTGTTGTTCCTTAGGCCTCTAGGTACACTGATATTTTTTTTTAAATTATTTATTTATTTTAAAATATGTCCTTACTTTAGCAGGCCCCAAAGCTCAAGCAGGTCAGTGAAGTGTTGTGGTAGAAAAACTATAGGCAAGCATTTGCCTGCTGGTGCTTTCACGTATGTCTTGAGCAGGAAGGAGCTGTTTGCTCAGACTCCCCTTTATCCCTCTGTAGCCTACGACTTGCTTCTCAGTAGGAGGCAATTGATTGTAATGGGTAAGGTGTTCTCCAAAAGTTGTTCCTCTACTCTAAGCGTCCCTTTGCTGTCTCAACATCTGTAACACAGTAATTGATACGTTAGTGGAGAGGAATGGTATATTTTCTACTGCTGGTGCTCTGCTGTCACAGGATGTGGTTAGGATTAGGATGCCCCTTATTTGCTCCCAAGTCTGTGTGTGTTGTAATGATAACCACCAAGAAAATATTCACCCCAGAAAAAAAATAAAAATTAGAGCAGTTAGTGGCTAGTGCTACTGTTTATCAATTAGAATAGTCTCTTAAAATCTGTATGTTACTGAGGGATCATAATTTACTTTGGAAGGATCAGAGTTTTATTGTTAAAAAGGAGAGTCTGAAATTTTCTGGTTTTATTTTCAGTCACAATTGGAAAAGTTCTAAATTATCTTCTTATATTATCTGTATATTTAAAGTAAAATCTAGTTAGGAGAAGCTGTTTCTTGTAACAATTTGAAGAAAAGCAGCTTTATGCCGTAATATTAAAGTTGCCAATAGGTGTCAGTTTCTTCCTATACATGGATGTAAGATACTCGGAATCTGCTGGGGCTCAGCGAAGACCCAAATGGGAAAAGACTTGTTTGTGTCCTCCTGTTCCTCGCTCCTCCTTTTTATTCCACCAAAGAGAATTAGGGTAGAAACCTTGCTTTATTTTAGATCAAAAGTAAAGAAAACTCAATTAAGTGTGTAATTTGACAGTGCTTGCGCTTTTCTAATTCCAGTTATTGTTTTTTTTAAATAAAAAGATACTGCAATTTGTTTTTAAAAATAATCCACTGAACTGTGTTTTGAGGAACAGGGATATTGTATGCCGAACTGTAACTTTGGATTTGCAGTGCATTTCTGTGGAACAGTGGTGGAATTTAAAGAGAATAAAATAAAGCTTTTGGAGATACTTAGAAATTATTTGATAATCCAAACTTCTGAAATGTCACTAGTCACAGTGTATTTCTCCAGCTGTGCTGTGGTTTTATTATGAGAAATTCAGGATGTTCTCAACCTTTCTTCTAGTTCTGGGGTTCCACAGCTTGGTTAAAGACACCTCTCATTTTGTACTGGGCTTTTCAGAAAGCTGCGGGACCCAGCAAAGAGCTGGAGCTGCTGCCACCACAGCCTTTCCCCTGTCAGTAGCCCAGCTTGCCTGTGGCTAGTGACAGGGTGTGACTGGGCAAAAAAAAGTGTGCTTTTTTCCTAGATGAATGGGTTTCTTGGACCTGTGCTGGGGAATAGTTGTCCTGAGGAGTTTGAAGTGTAGGTGTTGCACTTAATAGCTTAGGCTATCAAGTGAGTGTTATGTTCTGGCATGTTGAAGGCTGCAGTAAAGCTTTTGTCTAGCCTTTCAGATTTTGTATGTGCTGAAATCTTTTTGACCTAAGAGTGTATCTTTAAAGGCTTAAGTTACTCTGTGTTTGAAATTTGATGTAAATGAGCTACCGAGTTAGCTGCATAGATTTTTGATAGTCAGCCAACTGGCCAGCAACTGGGCTCTTTTGCTGCTTTTTTATTTTTTTAATTTTGGAAAGAGCAGTGTTAGTTTAAATTGGAAAAGTAGAAATCCCTGAAAAGGAAGATCGGCAAAAGGTCTTATATGCCTCTTTGTTTCCATTATTGGAGCATCCCTGCTCTGCAGGAGTCAGCTGTTGTCCCATCTGGACTTATCCTGATGCACTTCAGCTGGAGGTGGCAGTAAGAATGTCACTGGTTGCTCAGAGAATTTTTCATCATGAAGAAGATTCTCAGCTGTGTTATCTGGCTGCTTTTGGTCAGAAGTGATGGCAGAAAAGGTCAAAAATATTAAATAAGGATCACCAGCTCTTTGAAGACTTTTCTGTTACTGTGTAAACCACTGTGTAGAAAAAGAAAATACGTTTTTTCAGGAGGATTTGGTGATGATGTGGAAATTGCATCTTCTGTCCATATCAGCTGAGTGGCATGGGAGCCTTAGAACCTCATTGAGGCACTAAAAAGCAAACATAATTAAGCAGAAGCTCTCGTACATTTTAATGACTACTTATACATAGAAATTAAATGCAGAATGTACAATTAAAAACAGTGTCAGGAATTCTGAAGTTCAGTGTTCCTCAGAAATGCTAATGCAGCTGTGTTGCACATGAGTAGTATTTGCCTTTCTGTTTTTGTTTTTGTGGTTGAAAGTGTAGCTTAATATATTGTTGTAATAAATATACCATAAAATATTCAGGATGTAGAACACAGTCAAGTTCGTGCTGCTGTTGGAATGGTTAACTCCTGCATTTCCTGATTTTTCTTGAGCAAATTTGACATAGTACTAATCTTTTTTTTTCCTGCATGTGATTAGATGGAAATGTGCTGATTTGACTTGAATGGCAGAGAGCTGGCACATTTTATTTATGCCTTTTGTAACAAAAAGTCAACGTACAGGTGCTCCAGTCTTTGTGAATTTAAGACAGGTGCTTAAACATGAAGGGAAAACATACTGTAGATATTGTGGAAGAATTACCAGGATATCCTATAATCTACCCTGTGTGGTATTCTTATTTTTAGATGTCTGCTAAGGAAAGGCATAGCATCAGTTTGCAGAGAACTCATGGCAGTAACTTTCATATGGCACTCCGTTCTCTTACTCTGCTTATGCTTGGAGCCAACTCCGTTTCCTTAAGAAAAGACTTGCATCAAGGGGAGGATAAAACCAAACAGTAATTTTGCATCCTGCACTGTTTTAAGTGCTCCCGTGGCCAAACTAAAAAAAAAATCATTTGATGCTTATAAGAACAACGTGTTTCCTTTGGTAGTTGTGAATGTCAAGGTGTGGATTTTTAAATTTTTAAGTAGATTTTTAAGTAGTTAAGAGGGTTTTTTTTGTGGTTCACTTAAGATTTCCTTCAGAGCCTTTTTCTGAATACTGCATATGACTGAACAATCAGAAACGAAAGTATGATGTACAGGCTCTTTCCCCCCCTACTTTACTCTAAACAACAGATGCAGAAAAGCTGAATTTCATTGATTTCTATTACATCAGTGCTCCTTCAACCTTTCTCCAAAAATGCTTACTTAGTGGAACATTGATGATTATAAATATGGCCTGATGGATACTTTCTTGTCTGTAAAGAATATCCTTCGCACCCCCTGGGCCCTAAGTAAAGATTATCACAGATAACATCATGCATGTGGCATCATCTTTGCGTCCGATAACTAGTGCCTGCTCAGTTTCTCTGGCCCTTCGACTCCTCATATTGATATATTCTCCATCCATTATTCTCTAGGGATGAAGACAGTTATTGCAGCCATTAACTGGCACCACATTTCTATTGATGCTAGAGCCTTAAGAGGTAATTTTCCAGATTTTAGTCAGGGTACTTTATCATATATAAAATCTCAAAAGACTTGCCTAACCACAAGCCGAAAATTATTCAGTGTATGTTAAATGCACCCCACCTGCACCTCTCAAAATAAATAAAAAAGACCCCAAAACCAAAGGGTGTTTGATACTCTAATCTGCAATTTTCACTGACGTTCACGTGCAAGAAATAATGTGGTGGTTTCAGTTTGTCACAGGTCTGATCTGGAAATCATCTAGGCTCTTTTGTACATTTTTGTTAGCTTTGTTAGAATTCCTTTTCCCTGATCAGCACACAAGGAGCAGTTTGATCTCTTCACTTTGAAGTAAAAATACTACGTGTCTTAGGAAAAGGTTTAATGCCTGAAGAATTACATTCCTCAAGATCTGTTTGTACATTTCCCTTCTCAGCTGTGATCAGTGAGTGGCATTTATCCTGGCCATCCCACATGGTATAATAATTGATAGGATTCCTGTGTCTGTGGAGGGAGACTCTTCAGTTTAGATCGAAAGTCCTTAAGGCAGGTGGGAAGTGAGCTCCTGATTCTCAGTATTTTCTTGATCAGTGAAGAGAAGCCAAGTATGTTCCTGTGAATTGTATATAAGCAGTTTTTATTTTTATACACACAAATACACACATGAGAAATGTTGATCTTGCTTTTACTTTTTAGCAGTGTTATTTGTAAGAGTGTTTTTTCCTGGATGTGGGAATCAGTGTATCAGTATTATGGGATAATGTTGAAATACTCTTTGAAAAGGTCTTTAGGGCAATGTGGTAGATTTATGGAAACAAATGTCTTTGTTGCTTACAGGGTGCTTTACTATATTGCAGGGAAGTGTAAATACAACAGAAAAATTGTGTGAAGACAGAAAGCAGGCATTGGTACCCAAGATGTATATCTATCATATCTCCTGGGTTTGACAGTTGTAAAAATTGTATGTAGAACAGGAAGTGCTGTTTGTTTCTGTGAAATTTATTTTTATCTAAAACACCCAAGTCCTTAATGTTAAAAGCCAAAACAAA